AGATATTCACAAAGTCGGATGTGGTGGCCAGGGCGGTTTGCGGGCCGGGCTGCCTAGGAATAAGGACTCTCTTGTGCGGGGGGTGGACAAAATGAAAAAATATCAAAAAAGAAAAGCAAAAAACAACAAAACATCATCCATTATACAAAAAAAGAAAAAGGTCAAATCCTAATTCAATTTTTGTATTGCACTAAGCTCTTCAAGACAAATTTGATATAGGTCCAAACCGCAAAATATTCATAAAACATTTCAAGCTTTCAACTACAAACATGCAAAAATATCATAAAAGACAAAAAAAAGAAAAAGAATATCAAATTATTCACATCATAATACATTATACTCGAAAATATAAAACTCAACTAAAATATTGTAATGCACTAGACTTTTCAAAATGAAACTCATATTGGCACAAACCAGCGATATGTGGCCGCCAAAAGTCCTCATATGAGACCACTCCAAGCTCCAAAAACTATCTCGAAGTATTCCTTTTGTTTTCGGAAGAAAGTGAAAAAGTTCAAAACATTTCGATCTTGCATAAAATCTCAAATCCCAAATTTTTGAGAATTTCTCTCTACCATGCACAAGAGGGGTTTTGGGGGACTAGAATGTCCCCGCAAACCCCTTTCCCCCCATTTCAGGGCAGAAAAAATCTCAAAAATTCCCTCAATCGAGGGTAGTTTTCCTTCCTTGGTGTCCTTGTCACAAGGTGCCTAGACGCATGGCACCCAGGTGGCCCACCCCAGCCACCATGGCCAAATTTTCGAACTATGTGGAATCTTAATCCTGAGTACCATTCTATTTGTGGAAATATTTTCGCAAGCAGTGAGCTACACCCCTTAATAATGTGCATGCGCGCATTCAATTTGTCAATATATTTGTGTCTCCTCAGCTTCTTCTAACTCTAGTGTTAGTGATGGATCAACATTGAATACATTTATGGGGAGAGGTGAAGGAGGCAGAGGTTTCGAACTTGGTCATGACTTGGGAAGAGGCTGTGGTAGATGTTGATGGAGGCAGGGGTCATGGAACTCAAAAGTGTGCGCCGTGTGGGCATACAAATATGGTCGATAAGTGTTGAGATAAGATGGTAATCCTGCTTGGGCAAATCAGATTATTACACATCTGAGGGTGATGATGTTTATCTAGACCTAGTGATCATCAACAATAGTCAAATTTTGTTGGTGACTCTGTATTCTTTCGAGCGAAGAATATAATAAGTTGTTAAACAACTATAGCAGCCTACTGTGCACCATTCCACTTCCACTGCCACCCTTGCTAACTTAGGCACTTGTGTTGTTCTTGCATCTCAAAAACCTACTCCTTTGATTATTGAATCAAGAGCTTCTGACCACATGATTGGTGTGTCCTCTGTTTTTGTAGATAAGTATATTAACTAATTCCTTTATTACTTTGGCAGATGGATAACAATTTAGTGTGTCTAGACAAGATACAGTTATGCGGCTTATACCTACTTCTTCCTTTTTTCTGTCCTCTACAATTATGTTCCAAAGTTTCATTTTAGTTCGTTGTCTGCAAGTAAACCAACCAAATCTCTTCACTGCACCGTAAATTTATCCTTCTTTTTGTGTCTATCAGGATCTAAGGACGAGGAGGACAATTGGTGGCAAGTAAGAGTTAGGTGGCCCATACTATTTGGACCATAACCTGATTTGATATTGCCCTTCACTCTGCCGTGTCTCCCTTCTTATAGCATTGTGAGCTAGGCCATCCTTTGCTCAATAACTTGAAGCTGTTAGTCCCTTCTTTAAAGCCCGTGTCTACTTTTATATCGTGAGGCTTGTCAGCTCGGCAAGTATCATAGGGTGTTATTTCATCCTATAATTGATAAATGGAAACCTGCTCTATTTACAATTGTTCTTTCTAAATCTAAGCTCCTGCTAGATTACAAAGTTTGTTTGGCAATTAGATATTTTGTAACTTTCATGGATGATTATTCATGACTGACATGATGATATTTAATAAGATAGATCTGCGATCTTCATTTTTAAATTGTTTCACAAGGAGAACCAAATTCAATTCAATAATAATGTGTGTTTTTACATTTTGATAATGCTAAAGAGTATCTTTCCAGACTTCAAAATTATTTTGCTCAAAATGAAATTATATATCAAATTTCTTGTGTGCATATTCCTTAGCAGAATAGGGTTGTTAGAAGGAAAAATCAACGTTTACTTTGAAGTAACCCACACTACTAATTAATATGCATGATCCGAAAGTTTATTGGGGTGATTCCTTGCTCAGCTCATGTTATGTAATTACTCATATGCCCTCTTCAGTTTTGAAAGAAAAAGCACCACTCTATTCTCTCTCTGAATACTCCATTGTTTGTTGTTCCTCAAGTGTTCGGGTGTTTGCTTTGTTCATGTGTTAGGTAATGGTAATGATAAGTTAGATCCTCTAGCTTTCAAATGTGTTTTTCTACGGTATTCACGCTTCCAAAAAGGGTATCCTTGTTATCATCTTGGTTTACGAAAGAGATTTGTTTGTGCTAATATTACCTTTTTAAAAAAATACTTCTTATTTTTCAGAAGAGGGTTGTATGCTTGATGAAAATTTCTTTTATCCAGCTGTGGAAGAAGCCTCACAGGCCCTATCTTCTATAGTTCCTCTTCCTATCCCTACTGATACTTCTTCACCTCAGTTACCCGAACTTGCTGAACCTATTACTTCTACACATCATGATGTCCCCTTGGAGCAGCCCATAAACGTCTACACGAGAAGGAAAGTGTAGGATGGATAGGACACACTGACTCACCGGACTACCCAATCATCATCTTCACCTACAGATCCATTTCATGTTTCTAACTCATGTTCCGTGTCTAGTGATGATCCTATCGCCATCCGTAAAAGGTATCGTACTCAACATCGCATTGCTCATTTGGTTACTTCGCTAATTTGTCTCCATCCTATCAAAGTTTTGCTTTAGCTATTTCATCTCTTTCTATCCTTAAGTCTTATTAGGAAGCACTTTCTCATATTGGGAAGAAGAAAACCATAGAAGAGGAAATGGATGCACTTAACCTAAATGATATGTGGGAGCTCATTGAGTTACCATCTAGAAAAGGGTTGCCACTAGGTTTATGCAATAAAATATCAGCCTGATGGCATCATCAAGAGATTAAAAGCCAGATTGGTTGCCAAAGGATACACCCAAACCTTTGGCGTTTATTACTTTGATTCCTAGAAAATACCTTAGCTAGTCCAACTTCTTTGTGCAGATCAAAGCATGGCATTAGCTTGTCTCAAAGAAAATATATGACAGATTTGTTGACAGATATTGCAATGTTAGGCACTAAACCAATCAATACGTCAATACTCCAATGGATTCAAATACAAAACTGTTAGCAGATAAGGAGGAGTTGTCTGAGGTTTCAAGAAGGTACAAATCACTAGTAAGCAAGCTGATTTGTCTGCCCATCACTTGGTATGATATTGCTTTTGTAGTAAGTGTAGTGAGTCACTTTATGCATTCTCCCAATATTCCTCCCTCGGATGCTATTTGTAGAATTTTGAGGTATCTAAAGGGAGCTCCAGGTAGAGGTCTGGTTTACCAATCAAATAATCATTTGACCATTGAGAGTTACTCAGATGCTAATTGGGCAGGTTCTCCATCTAGGCATGGGTGATATTCATTTTCTAGGTTAAGGGAGGGTGTTAAAAATCCCCTTTTATCTTTATTTCTCTTTCATTTAAGTTATTAGGACCTAATGTCTTATTTCCAGTTTGTATGGGAAATATTGTCTTTTTTAAATCTCATCAATATAAAAGAGACATGAGAGGTGCATGAGACAAAAAAAACTATTACATCAGCTCTTCTTTCCCTGTTTTCTTCTCTCTCTCTCTCTC